AAACAGCATGCAGATGCCGCAAAAAAAAAAAAAAAAAAAATAGAACTACCAGGTGAGGCACGGATCCCACGGGTAGATATACTTCGGGAGGAAGTGGAATCGGCGCGTCAAGGATATATGTCTGCACTGCCATGTCACTGCATCACTACTAACAATACCTGAGAAGTGAAACAACCTAAGTCTCCATCAAGGGGTGAACAGTACACGTACACAATCGAACACTGTCTGCAACAACAGGGGTGAGCCTGAGGTGATGATGTGAATGAGAAAAGCCAGGCACAGGAAGATGGGTGCCGTATGATCTGACTTACAGGGCTAATACAGAAATAAATGATCTAGAAGTTGAGGGCAGAGTGGTGATGACCAGAGGCTGGAGGAGAAGGAGGCAGGGATGGAGAAACGTTGGGTGACAGGTACGAAGTTACAGTTAGACAGGTGTGAGAAGTTCTGGTGTATCACCTTTTGTGCAGTAGAGTGACTACAGATTTGTTCTGTATAATTAAAAAAGCTAAAAGGATTCAGAATGTTTTCACCATAAAGAAATGATAAATATTTGTGTAGACAGACATGTTTAACCTGATTTCAATATTATACAGTGGATGTACTAAAACATTATATGGCACCTCAATGTGTACACTTCTATGTTTTTATAAGTCAAAACCTCAATTTAAAAAGACTATTTTTTATCCAAGCATCCTGGAAATCTGCCCTGGCTGTGCTGCTCCAGTCATAGGCATTTTGCACTCTAAGCTGGAAGACTTTACAGCTCTGTTCCACACTGTCAAAGGCCCCACCTCATAGAGCAGAACTTCAGGCCTATGAGCCCACTCCTCCTGCCCTATCTCATCAGTTAGCTAGAATTGTCAGAAAAAATCTTTAGAAATAAGCTCTCTAAACTACTCTCCTCAGAATGCATATAACTTGTGCTATTAGACGCCTAAGATTCCTGAAGGGCTGGGCCCCATCCTGGTCTTACATTTATTCCCACCACAGCCAGAATTGACTTTTGCAATAAAGAAAATGCTGGTTACATATGTGGAAATGATCATTTTAGGGAAAGGAAAGCTTTCTCTTTCTCTTCTTTGCAAAAACAGTTTTATTATATTTGCTGTCAACTGTGCCTCATATTTATGTGTGCAAACATCTAAAAGCTTATTGGCTGCCTAGAACTGAGCTGGGGGGTAGGGATGTAGCAGTAAGACAGACACAGTCCTGTCCTCAGGGGAGGGGAAACAAAACCAAGCATATTATGGTACATATTTCAACAAGTGTGACACATGCCATTACTAAGAAGCAGCTAGGACTATGAGGAATACACTGACAGGGGCCAGGAAAGGCTTCTACATGGCCTTCGTGTTAGATCTGACAGAGGCCTGAATCTAACAAGGTAGGGTACTGTTACTGATTTGTGTCTAGACGACCCCTCAAAGCTTCATGCAGTCAGAGGTGGGGCTTTTTCAGAGGTGGCTGGACCTAAAGTGTGTAATGCTGGACTTAAGGGTGTGTGATAAAACTGACCCACTGTTTGGCACCGCCTAATCCCAATAGCCTAGATAGAATATAAAAGGGGCAGAAAGAAGCTGCCAAGGTCCCTTTCTTGCTCTTGCCTGCCTGCTTGCTACGGACTATTTATCCTCTATAATGCCCCTCTGCCATGCCACCCCGCCTTGGAGCCAGCCAACTGTAAAACTTGGAAACCTCTACGAACTGTGAGCCAAAAGAAACCTTTTCTCCTCTAACTCTGGGTGCCCAGTATTTGGCCTCAGCAATGAGAAAAGTAACTAAGACGGGTATGGTACACTCAGGCTGGCAGAGGGCCCTTTCAGCCATGTTGAAAATTTAAAACTTAATCCTAAAAGCATGAAAAACCACCGAGGGTTTTATGCAAGATAATGTGATCAGATTTGCCTTTTTAAATCACTCTGGAGGTAAACAAAAGTGAATGTGCAACCTTCAAACTATAAGTGTGTATATGTGAAAATTAATCAAAATCTCTTTGGTCATCATTTCAACTGGAACTCAGTTTTAAGAATATAAAATATGTGTAAGCTCCAAAACGTAAGATCTGAGACCCAGCCAACATCCTAGAATACTAATCTAACACAGGGTACTCTCAAGCTACCTCCCAATCATTGCTTTCCAGTGATTCTACTGGCCTGTCTATGCAAATTTGTATTTGGCATTAGTCCATGTTCTGAACTAAGCTGTATCTTGCTTATTCAGAACAAGTCCTCCTCCCTCCAGACTGCCTGGCCCAGACGTTCTCCCTGAAAGGCTGAGTGGTTAAAGTATTCGCTATGGTTGAATGTGGTTAAAGTATGCACTAGTTGGGAAATATTCCCTTTGATCTACTTGGATCGAGGACCGATTGCCTCTAGGAATTTTCCAAATTCTTGTGCCACTTCACAAGGGCTCATGGGTTCTGAGCAGCCAGTGGACTTGAGCAGCCACCTCCCAAGAGCTCTATGCCATGTCTACTCTCACAGCAGAAATCCACAGAGGCACTAAATCTTCTCGACCATGAGCCAACAAATACAGCTGGTACAAATTTTGTTTTGCTCTGAACTCTCTGGTTTTGACGCTGATTTGTATACAGTTGTGCACTGCCCCGATACAACTGTTTTCCTGAAATCCATCCGGGATTGCCTAATGATACCATTAATTGTTCTCCTTGGTCACAGATGTCCATTCAAGTCCCAAAGAATTTTAAAACTACTTTTAAACTTTTTCTCAGTTTTTATTTCTGTTAGTACCTACTAACACATACTAATCACACTCCTCATGGAATAAAACTATTATACTGGTAACTAATCCAAATATGTCATTTCCAAACATTTATGTAGATCTCTCCCAATTATTTCCTCCTTTATTCTTTTTATCAAAATAAAAATAAGTCTCACCATGTTCCCCTTCTGAGTTTCTACAGTACCCACTCGGAAAGTGAAAGACCCTTTACACCTGAACGAAACGAAAGCCGTTCTGCTCCGGGGCAGGGCCCCTGCAACAGGAAGTTCAGGGACTGAGGAAGCGGCTAGACCTGGGCTCCAGTCTTGGCTTCATCCCTTCCTCATTTCCCTGGCCCTTGTTTTTCTCCTTTACAAAATGGGGGTGTACTACAACATTCATTTTCTAGATCTAATCATTTCAAATTGATACCACAAACTGGGTAGCTCAAAGCAATAGAATATTTTCTCATTGGTCAGAACGGCAGACTTCTGAAATTAGGTGTCAGCAGGGTTGCTTCCTTGCAGAGGCTCCATGGTCAACTCCCTCCTTGGTTCTCCCAGACCTTCCAGCTCCCGGCGTTCCCCTGCATCCTCTTCTCATCCCTCCAGCACGCGTCTTCCTATGTTTATCTCCTCTCCTCCTCTGATAAGGACACCAGCCGTGCATTTAGAGCCTACTGCAAATCCAAGCTGAGCTCATCTCAAGATCCTTAACTAATGACGTTTGCAAAAACCCAGTTTTCAGTTAACGTCACATTGTGAGGCTCTGAGTAGAGCCGACACGGGGTGGACAACTGCCCGACTCGCTACACCTACCTGTGGTGGAGCGTAACCCATTACCCTCAGGAAAGCTGACGAGCCTCCACAGAGAGTTCACGGTACAACGGAATCTCAGCCCCTGTGTTTACACTATGGCTTGTTCAGCTGTGTTTTATGTTAAGAAAAATGGTTACTTTTAGAGAAGTGACAGTGTGCACAGCCATTATACCACTGAATGTGCTCTAGCACTCAGTGAGCACTTTTTTCTCTGCCTAGTCCTAAGCTCAGATTTGCAACAGTGACTTAGTGGCACAACTTGTATGTGAATCCCAAGAAACTGTGCATACTTCAAAGATACAGAGAAAACCCCGTTGGCCCTACACAGTGGTTACTTGTAAGCACAGCAAGTAGCTCTCTTTTCAAAACTCGACCTGTCACAGCCATTTAAATAGTAAGAAATAAAAGTGCGTCCCAGAGAGCTTTGCATCTCTGAGGAACATAAACATTATGAAGAATGCCGTGGGTAAAAGTCAGAAACTTGATTCTGTTATTCTTTACCTCATTTGCTAATGACCATCTGAAAATGTATCTGGTCTACTGTCAGTTAAATTCCTTTACCTTACCACACTGTCCTCCCTGGCATAATGTCACCTAGAATGTTTTTAAGAAGGACGGAAAAAAACAGACTCATCTTCAAAACAGCAGCTGTGCTGTCACAAGCGAACAAAGCTTCAGCCAGCAGGGGAAGGCAGCGGAGAGCTGCCCGCCTCGCTCTGCACTCCCCGGCCTCCTCTTACCTCACACCTTCCTCTTACCTCTTCCCACGGAGCTTCAATATTCACACTTACTGGGACTAAGCAGTTGCCCACATCTGAAACTCCCAAAAAACTGGTCTCAGGAATAAGCATTTTTCCTCATTTTTATCTACCTCACTTCAATACACCTGGTCTTGGCTGAAGTCCCTGCACCCTGCAGTGAGGCCCGGATAACTACAGGAAGGGTAAGAGGCCTACAGTACAGGCTGTTGTGTTCGCTCCCTGGGGCTCAGGGTATAGCCACAGTTTTACCTGGTTCTCTTTTCAAGGCATACGTCTATTATTTCTATTGCAATGCCTTTCTCTTAGAGTGTAACAGGTTAGCATGAAAAAATTCTCACCTGTGACACGTATGGGAAAGAATCAGAACCAAGGACAAACTTAATTCCATATCAGAAAAGACCCCCTCGTATTTCACAAACACTCTTCATCTCTACTTTTTCACACCTTATGGAATTGTTACATCTTATCTTAATATGCCACCCAACCTGTACACACATGCTGCTAAATATACTACGATTGGCTAAAACGATACAGATGCTCCAGTTACTTCGTTATGAGTTTCTACAAATACCCCACCTTACACCTCAAAGCGAAGTCACTGAACCTCCAGTGACGTGGACTGTGGAAGCAGATGCTCACCAAGCCTGACATGTCCATCCCAGAGAAGCTAAGGTTTCCTGTGGAAGACAGCCCTTACCTGGATTGGGCTGAAGGTATTCGATTGTCTTTGTCATTATCTCCATCACAGCCCTGCTGGTAACATCCACTTTCTGAAATGACAAAACAAACATTCTAAGTGCCAAAGTCATTAGCTTTAGCGCCTTTCGCTTCTCCTGAGTCTGTACACAACCACCAGACAGGCAACAAAGCGGTGACAAGTCCCGTAAGAGAAAGGGAGGGGCTTTGTGGAACCTTTGGGGAATAATGACTTCACACTCAGCGGCTGTCTATCAAGATCTGAAAAGTCCACTCACCCCAGAAGGAAGCTGGTCATTTCCTACTATTTATTTGAACGTACATTAATTATCTTCGGGTAAAAATAAGGTGGAGGCAGTCAAACACATTTTGCCCCCAGAAGCAATTTCTGGATGATGACAGCAGGCCAGGCATGGTGGCAGGTTTTGCCACCTAAAGAACAAGGCATGAGATAAAGTTATTTAACGTCTGAGAACATGCTAAGGACTTAAAACCTTCAGCATACAGTTGTAGTCAACCCTTGAATAGTTGGTAAATTGTAAAAAAAATCTTGGTGTCGCAGTCTATCTTGAAAAAGTGTGACTGGTGGACGACTGCCCACAGCGGTTTGCCACACCCTCCCTGCCAGGCCCTTCTCCCTGAGACAGAAGACAGGAGTTGCATAATGCACTTAGGTCCTATTTACCTTCACTATGGAACCCTGTTCTTATCGGTATGTTCAGCCACTCATTTAAGCTACAGGGCAAGTCACTGATGGAAATAAATGCCTCCTCTGTATGTGTATGCAATAGATGATACAAGATTTCTGAAGGTTATTCATTTAACAGTCAAATTCAGATAGCAATTAAATTCATAAGAATTACTGTTTGTTTGTGGTTTTGTTTTAATGGAGTTTAAGGGCTTCTCTTTGAAATCTAAGAAATTTCCATAATTTCTAGCACCCACATATAAAATCAACTTTGTATGTAGTAAGCGCATTCTCTTCCGCGATCTAGTCATTAAACATTTTAATTTTTCAGCTGGGTATGTGACTCACACCTGTAATCCCAGTACTCAGGAGGCTGAGGCAAGAGGATTACTGTGAGTTTAAAACCAAGCTAGGCTACAAATCAAGACCCTGTCTCAAAAAATAACACAAACCAAAAAAACAAAGATTTTAACTTTTCAATACTTAATAGTTTCCTCTTTCAAGAACAACTGGGATAGGCAAAGTGAAAAAAAAGAAGGAAGGGAAAAGAATACCTCCCCCCCACACACACACACACAAACGATAGCTAACATAATTATACTGCTAATTTCATTGAAAAGATCAGTTTGTGCTTATGTTAGTTGATTAATTTTGTTTGCCTATATCTTGTAATCTGAGCAACGACTTTGAAGACAACAATATGCAGTACATTAACCATTGTTTATTCCTTATCCTGCTTTGAAACTCTGCACTGTTTTTCTTTTTTTTTCTCTCTTTAAAATAAAAAAATTTTAAAGCTTAAAAAAAAAAGTTTCCTGTGCCATGGGAATCATATGACTGGTATGTTTGCTATTATGGGGCTAAATAAAGCAACACATTTTTCTTATGAATTTAAAAGTTCATAAAATTAACATTAAAAGTATCTTATTTTGGATATACCCATGGGTGAATCCTGTGTCTAGTCCTTTCAACTGACTCGTATTTTAAAAAGTCAGCTGGAGACCTGGGAGATACAATATTACAGTTTGTGTTTGGTCCCCAGTGGGAGTCTATTCTAAAGGACAACTGACAATACAGACTACCCCAGTGTCACCCGCACCTTGACCCAAGGCCCCTACAAAGGAGTCAGTGTCACCCACACGTTTATAGCCTTTGTGCTCACTCAGGAAGACTCCTTCACCACCTCTGGTTACCTAGCCCAGGCATCACTGTAGAGCACGCTCTGCGTAAATATTTTCGTGATGTGCACTCAACAGGGAACAGCTTTCAGCAAATTTGTTCGCTAAGCCCTTGCTCTTGCTTCAACTCTGGCAGATAATCATTTGGCAGAGTTAAAGAATGTAACAGGAAGAGACCAGCAGCACAACTAGCCCAACGTCTTCAGTTTTTAAATGTGAAATTGAGGCCAGGAGGGAAATGAGCTCCCTAAGGTTACGCAGCTAGTGTTAGTATGGGAGGTAAAGTAGTTCTCAGGGTAGTAGTTCTAACCAAGAGCATCGCAACTGAGTTGTCTCAGGACTACCTGCTACTCTCCAAGTCATCTGTTAGCAGGAGGCTTATTAACTTCTAATTTCCTTCTACTTCTACCATCAACAACATTCAGCTAAACTGTGCTATGTCAGCCACAAGTAAGCCGAGAGCCATAACCTGCTAATATCCTGACTGTGCCTTGCTTAAGGGACTTGCTACAAAAGCTATTTATAAATCCAAACTGGAAATACCTAGTACATATTCTTCCATTACCAGGCCTGATAAAGTTAACCTGACGAAGGTATATACATAGATCACTTATAAGCAAGAGCTTACTCCCAACTAAGAGCAACATAGTTTAACTTTGAACTTATGTCATACAGCTGTTCTTTCCCTCCGTTTCCAAATTTTTCAATTACTTGAAGTATGGAAGTTTTGATGCATCCTAAATTACATCATGTATTCTTATGAACTCTAAAGCATCTATCTTTAATTAACCTTGCCTGGGATTGCAGAAGGGAGCCAACGACAAGCAACATTTTGAAAAAAAATGTAAATAAAGTATGAAACTGAGATTATCCTAATGCATTATTACAGTTATTGTTTTGCAGTGTTCTTGGGATTCAGCCTGGAAATAAACTATAAACATGTATATATATCTATATATATATAGGGTGATACGTTGTGTCAACTTGAGAAGTTTAGAAGTTTAACTAAGCAACCAGCAGGGGGCCAAGGTCCTCACTTTGTAAACATCCTCACTTGTAAACATCCTCATGCTGTGCAAGAGGAGGGCAGGGAGATGGTGTGCGTTTTGCACCAGCCCAGGCGGGTTGGGGCGACTGCCTGCTGACAATACAAGGGAGGGAAAGAAGCTTGCTCCCCACTTTTTCTCTTGCTGCTTTTGCTGTCTTCTGCTGCCTTGAACTGTTGCCCTGGGCCATGCCACCCTGCCTTGGTGCCAGCGGATTATGGACTGAAACCTCCACCAACTGTGAGCTAAATAAACCTTTCCTTCCTTAATTCTGGGCACCGGGTATTTTGTCTGAGCAAGGAGAGAAAAGTAACCACGACAGTGTAACCTACAGGAAGCTGTCTGCATGGAATTTCAGACCAACCAGAAAGGCGTCTTTAAGGCTGACCCTGCTTGGCTTTCAGCTGTCCTCACAGCTCTACAACAGCTGGAGAGTCCCTTAGCCCACGGATCACATCTCCTTCACCACCACCCCGGGAAGCAGACACCCACTACATGGCAGGCACCATTTATCACCAGGGAGTTATGTTACTCTGTGCATGCTGGCTGGATCTTCACTCCTTTCTCTCCCATTTGACACACACTGCTGCAGCCCAAGTCAGAGTGGCACCAGTAAACTGGGAGTATGCCTATACTGTGTATGCCTGCCTGTACTGTGATCCAAATACTCTGGGAAGCTGAGGCAGGAGAACCACAAGTTCTCATCTGGACAGTTTAGTGACTTAGCAAAACCTTGTCTCAAAATAAAAATTAAAAAAGGCTGGGGATGTAGTTCATTGCAAAGGTCCTGAGTTCTATCCTCAGTACTAAGATAAAAAACAAAAACAGTGATATCATCAGAAAGTACTATTGTTAGTAACAAATTACTTGCTACAAAACTTAACAGAGAACGAATTTGCTTCACAGGACAGGAACTCTGAGAACTGTGGGAACTATGCTATAACACAGGCAGTGGCAGGGAATTCAGTGACCTCTGGGGTTGTGCAGAACTGAACTCAGTAACTGAGCATATGAAGGTGATGACCGTGCACAAGGTCTCGTCAGCTTTTCCCCATAGCCCACTTCACCAACAATCCTCACTGGTTTTCTCTCATTTGGAACAATATTCTTTTTGTTCTTTCTCATCATATTTTTCTTAAAATCTGAAGCTGCCCCTTCAGAAGAATTCAATGTTTGTTAAATGGCTACACACACACTTCCAATCCTAGGGCTGTTTCAACAGAAGGAGTTTCCCAGGACACTAACTGCTAAAAGACACTTGCTCTGCTAGCACTGTTACCCGTTATGCGGGGACAAGAGAAGATTTCAGGATTTAGCACAGACTCTCTCCTCCAGGAAGCGTCCACTGATCAGCCCAGCCTGGGTGAGGCATCTCTCCTAGGTCTTCCATGGGAATCCTCCCCAGTGCATGAAGTACTGCTATGTCCTCTTAACTCCTGACTTATGAACCTTTCCCTCCTCTTGTCCCAATCAAAACTAGAAACCCCTTGAAGGCAGATATGGTTCTTACGCATCTTTGTAATTCTACTACCAAGCACGCAGCTAGGGCTGCCCTTAAGAGAGACAACCTCTAGGAATATCCACTTCTCCCAGCAGTGCTGCTTGATGCAGAGCTCTAATTTATTTCATTTTGTTGCCTAATTGCACCTCTGAGAATACAGCCAAAAAAGGTTTCTCTATCTCATGTTTGATAATCAGAAAACCAACTGTGAAAAGGTAGTCCTCTGTAGACTTGGGAATACTGAGCTAAAGTATTTTTATGAAGTACAGACAAATTAACAAGAGAAAAGATGTGAAATTCTGAATCCCAAGAAATTGCTTTTCAATTACCACAGAAATCCTATAAAGCATGGAGAGAAGATACAAAAATTACAATAGTCACAAATAAGGCAAAAATGTATGGAATAAAACAATATTTATACTGCACTGAAATCTAAGTCTTCATTTACTTAGGTAAAAACTCAATACCCCACTGCCACAAATAGACTGATCAACTAAAAGAAAAACCAACTATGAAACATCAGAACTGAACCACGCTTTTGAACAAATGGACTGAGTAGATGTCTACAGAGTGGTCTGCCCCACAACATCAGAATACACGTTCATCTCAGCTGCACATGGGATTTCTCCAAAGTAGACCACAAACTATCTCATAAACCATG